GTCGCTACATTGCCCGCATGTCTTCCCGGGGTTGTTTGCAGTGTAGTTGTAGTTACGGAACGTAGAGGTCACGACCGTTGGATGGGCAGTGGCTTTTGTTTGGAAGTGGGCGAGCTCAGGATCAGATTGATGTGTTATTTCCGTATTTGCACCCCCTGTAATTGCTCAACACGGACCACGTTTGTCTCCCGATGTCCGTGTACGGGTTGGTCCTGTTTGCTTGTCGTGACGTGTGTGCTGGCATGTGCGGGCGTCGCCGATGTCGTATTGGTACTCTTGGTGGCAGGGATCACGCCGGCCCCGACAGCTGATGGAACAGTGTCGCCGACTCCAGGTGATTTCCACCAGTCCGATGGTCGCTACATTGCCCGCATGTCTTCCCGGGGTTGTTTGCAGTGTAGTTGTAGTTACGGAACGTAGAGGGCACGACCGTTAGATGGGCAGTGGCTTTTGTTTGGAAGTGGGCGAGCTCAGGATCAGATTGATGTGTGATTTCCGTATTTGCACCCCCTGTAATTGCTCAACACGGACCACGTTTGTCTCCCGATGTCCGTGTACGGGTTGGTCCTGTTTGCTTGTCGTGACGTGTGTCTTGACGCGTGCGGACGTCGCCGATGTCGTACTGGTACTCTTGGTGGCAGGGATCACGCCGGCCCCGACAGCTGATGGAACAGTGTTGCCGACTCCAGGTGATCTCCACCAGCACGATGGTCGCTACATCGCCCGCTTGTCTACCCGGGGTTGTTTGCAGTGTAATTGTAGTTACGGAACGTAGAGGGCACGACCGTTGGATGGGCAGTGGCTTTTGTTTGGAAGTGGGCGAGCTCAGGATCAGATTGATGTGTAATTTCCGTATTTGCACCCCCTGTAATTGCCCAACACGGACCACGTTTGTCTCCCGATGTCCGTGTACGGGTTGGTCCTGTTTGCTTGTCGTGACGTGTGTGCTGGCATGTGCGGGCGTCGCCGATGCCGTATTGGTACTCTTGGTGGCAGGGATCACGCCGGCCCCGACAGCTGATGGAACAGTGTTGCCGACTCCAGGTGATTTCCACCAGCCCGATGGTCGCTACATCGCCCGCATGTCTAACCGGGGTTGTTTGCAGTGTAGTTGTAGTTACGGAACGTAGAGGGCACGACCGTTGGATGGGCAGTGGCTTTTGTTTGGAAGTGGGCGAGCTCAGGATCAGATTGATGTGTGATTTCCGTGTTGGCACCCCCTGTAATTGCTCAACACGGACCACGTTTGTCTCCCGATGTCCGTGTACGGGTTGGTCCTGTTTGCTTGTCGTGACGTGTGTGTTGACGCGTGCGGATGTCGCCGATGTCGTATTGGTACTCTTGGTGGCAGGGATCACGCCGGCCCCGACAGCTGATGGAACAGTGTTGCCGACTCCAGGTGATTTCCACCAGCCCGATGGTCGCTACATTGCCCGCATGTCTTCCCGGGGTTGTTTGCAGTGTAGTTGTAGTTACGGAACGTAGAGGGCACGACCGTTAGATGGGCAGTGGCTTTTGTTTGGAAGTGGGCGAGCTCAGGATCAGATTGATGTGTGATTTCCGTATTTGCACCCCCTGTAATTGCTCAACACGGACCACGTTTGTCTCCCGATGTCCGTGTACGGGTTGGTCCTGTTTGCTTGTCGTGACGTGTGTCTTGACGCGTGCGGACGTCGCCGATGTCGTACTGGTACTCTTGGTGGCAGGGATCACGCCGGCCCCGACAGCTGATGGAACAGTGTTGCCGACTCCAGGTGATCTCCACCAGCACGATGGTCGCTACATCGCCCGCTTGTCTACCCGGGGTTGTTTGCAGTGTAATTGTAGTTACGGAACGTAGAGGGCACGACCGTTGGATGGGCAGTGGCTTTTGTTTGGAAGTGGGCGAGCTCAGGATTAGATTGATGTGTAATTCCAGTATTTTCACCCCCATAAATTGCCCAACACGGACCACGTTTGTCTCCCGATGTCCGTGTACGGGTTGGTCCTGTTTGCTTGTCGTGACGTGTGTCTTGACGCGTGCGGATGTCGTATTGGTACTCTTGATGGCAGGGATCACGCCGGCCCCGACGGCTGATGGAACAGTGTTGCCGACTCCAGGTGATCTCCAACAGCCCGATGGTCGCTACATCGCCCGCTTGTCTAACCGGGGTTGTTTGCAGTGTAGTTGTAGTTACGGAACGTAGAGGGCACGACCGTTGGATGGGCAGTGGCTTTTGTTTGGAAGTGGGCGAGCTCAGGATCAGATTGATGTGTAATTCCAGTATTTTCACCCCCTGTAATTGCCCAACACGGACCACGTTTGTCTCCCGATGTCCGTGTACGGGTTGGTCCTGTTTGCTTGTCGTGACGTGTGTGTTGACGCGTGCGGACGTCGCCGATGTCGTATTGGTACTCTTGATGGCAGGGATCACGCCGGCCTCGACGGCTGATGGAACAGTGTTGCCGACTCCACGTGATTTCCACCAGCCCGATGGTCGCTACATTGCCCGCATGTCTACCCGGGGTTGTTTGCAGTGTAGTTGTAGTTACAGTATCTGGAGGGCGCGGACGTTGGATGGGAAGTGTCTTTTGTTTGGAATTGGGCGAGCTCAGGATCAGATTGATGTGTGATTTCCGTATTTGCATCCCCTGTAATTGCTCAACACGGACCACGTTTGTCTCCCGATGTCCGTGTACGGGATGGGGCTGTTTGATTGTCGTGACGTGTGTGTTGACGCGTGCGGATGTCGCCGATGTCGTATTGGTACTCTTGATGGCAGGGATCACGCCGGCCCCGACAGCTGATGGAACAGTGTTGCCGACTCCAGGTGATTGCCACCAGCACGATGGTCGCTACATTGCCCGCATGTCTAACCGGGGTTGTTTGCAGTGTAGTTGTAGTTACGGAACGTAGAGGGCACGACCGTTGGATGGGCAGTGGCTTCTGTTTGGAAGTAGGCGAGCTCAGGATCAGATTGATCATATTGGCACCCCGTGTAATTGCTTAACACGGACCACGTCTGTCTCCCGATGTCCGTGTACGGGTTCGTGTACGGGTTGGTCCTGTTTGCTTGTCGTGACGTGCGTGCTGATGCATGCCCATGTCGCCGATGTCGTATTGGTACTCTTGATGGCAGGGATCACGCCGGCCCCGACAGCTGATGGAACAGTGTTGCCGACTCCAGGTGATTTCCACCAGCACGATGGTCGCTACATTGCCCGCATGTCTAACCGGGGTTGTTTGCAGTGTAGTTGTAGATACGACATGTGGCAGGGACAACCAAGTGGTTTTTGTTTGGAAGTGGGCGTGGTCAAGATCAGATTGATCTATTTCCACCCGCTGCATTTCTTCAACACGGACCACGTTTGTATCCGGACGTCGGTGAACGCGTTGGTCCTGTTTGATTATCGTGACGTGCGTGCTGACGGGTGCGGATGTCGTCGATGTCGTATTGGTACTCTTGATGGCAGGGATCACGCCGGCCCCGACAGCTGATGGAACAGTGTTGCCGTCGTCAGGTAAATGTCAGCACCATGATACACTTGTCGAATGTTCGCTTGGTTAAGACCCGTGTTTTGTTTTCCTGATTTCATGTGCGCTTGGACTGACTTCTGGAAGCAATACTAGGAGCTCATTTGAGACGCAGCGGTTTCCCACACAGGCGAAAGTTGACTTAGGCATATCACTCCGCTGGTGTGGCACGTGAGATTTCATAGACTACCATGTAGCCATGGTGCGGTCAATTCTTGGGCCTTGGCCACTACTTTGTTCGACGTTTCACGTAAACTTCCCTCCACCTGAAGCCTGTCATATTTCCTCTGCTACGCAGAAGAAATCCCGTCGACACAAGCTCCTTCGCATGCAGCTGCTGTCCAAGCCCCTGGGTCTGTAAGCACGGCTGACCCTGACGGTGGAGCCGACTTCGATCGAGTTCCGACAGCAGCGCCCACCTCGGCACCAACGTTCCTGGTCGAGGTGAACGATTTGCAGCGATTTATTTGGGTACGGCCGTCATTTTTCGGTAGAACTGTTGACGTTGAGCACCTACTCGTGATCCGCAAATCAGTTCGCTTGTGAACCGTTGAACGTTCCACGGGGATGGTACCGCTTTTTTCGCTTTCGTGCTGCAGGTTCAGGGGGCCGCCATCGGTGCCGCCCGTGTTGTCTCGGCCGCCTCCGTTGGGGGTGTGGTGGCGTCAACCGTGGGCACCGTCGTCAGTGGTTCCGCCAGTGCAGCGTCATCAGCAATGGCGGGGGGCACGGTATGTCCCGGAGAATAGGAATAGTTGGTTGTCGTTGGATAGTAACAATACATTATTATTGCATGTTCAATCTACTGTTCATATTCAGCACAGCAGTGTTTTACGTGCCGATCCTTGTTCGGCTTATAATTCCTTCGCGCTCGGTCACTTCATCATCCTACACTATTTTCAAGTATTCTCCTCTCACGTCTTTGCCCCTTGTTTCGAAACAGGGCCAGGCAGCGACGCAGACTACGTTCCGCAATCCGTCGTCGACGATGGCTTTAGTTCTTACGTCACAAATTCAGTTTTTAGCAACGCTGTCGTTCGTGGACAATACGGGAGCGGAGGATTCTGCTCTCTCTGGGTTTACCAACGCCCTCAGGTCAGCAAGAATATCCATTAGGCCGATGAGACGGTTGCGACGAGTGGGTCACCTCAATCTCTAGAGGAGCGCGCGTCCAACGGTTACGTGCTTCGTGCATTAATCTGTAGTGCAGAAGGACTAAGCGCTGAAAACACCACTTGGCCAACCATTGAGCACTTGTGTGGACGCATGCAACAACGTATCTGAATTGCACTCGCTGTGTTACTACGGATCTATACCGCTCGGCATCGTCAAGGTGGGTAAACTTGTGGCCAAGCGAACGCTTCTCGGAGGTTGTTGCATCACGGATCTTTTCGAGCAACCCCGACCAAACCCATGGAGAAGATGATGGTGACGATGATACAACAAAGCGAGGAATGTCCGTGTCATTCACCAACGACCTCGGCTCTCTGTTGTTCATGGGAAATCTTGCGCTTTTTGCGGGTCTTCTGGCGATCATATTTTCCTTGCATATCTTGGTGGCGTCGGCAATTGAGGCGCACTGGCTGGCAAAGGTGAGAAAAGGCCCTAAATTGAGTTGTACGTTGGGGTCGCGAGCCGTTCCCGAGGGAAAAGCATACATCTGTTTAAGAAAAAGCATGGCAGGTGTGTTCGGCGTGCAGACTATGATTTTTGCGAAACCAAATGATGGTGGCATCATGGGTATTGGGCGTAGAGCTACATAGAGCTGCAACGGGCAACGCATCTTACTTACGCACCTCCCTACGACCGACCTGTCGTCATGCCTCTCTTTCGTACTTTAATAGCAACGGGCGAGCAGGGAGGCTTCAAGAGCCTTGGGCCATGGCCTTTCTTTAAGCGAGCTGTCCACCACCCTCTTGGACACACGCTTCCAGCAGCCGAGTTTGGATGGGGGCTCCTCAGCAGGGAGCCAGTCGTCCGATGCCGTCCAGTCGCACTCATTGAGAGGACAATCTACGTCATTTCGGGGCAGCAGCGACTCGGGGGATTTGGAGAGTAATAAAGAAGAAGGCGGACGAACGAACGCGCGTCAGAGCAAATCGATGGGCCGAGTGTTGGAGTGTCGAGAACTGTCGCAGTCACCGTGGCTCCATTACCCGCACCTGGAACTCATCTTTCTTTTCTTCGCCTTCGAGGGGGCAGTCACCTCACAGGTCTCAGCCTTGCGAAGTACAAGTTCTTCGAAGCTTTATTACGCGGCCTTGGTGACGTTGGTGAGGGCATGCGAAGCGGTGACAGTACGTAATAGAACTTTGTGCGTTATGCGGGTGCTATGAACAGACTTCAGGGGAGAACGTCGGTCGCAAACAAGCAACGCGGTGAGATGCCCTAATAGGGGGGGTGGGAACAGGTCTCAGGTACAGGTTTCAAGAGCTGTCACGTAAACGCACCCGCACTCGCAGGATCTTTTAGTGCAGCGCTCGTTGTGATGGGGGCTAGGCACTGTTCGCTTAGCTCGCTCCGCACAAAAAGTTCGCCTAGCCTTATAAATGTACGTCCCGACAGATATCTCGCCGGGTAGATAGGGAGACGTCGTCAACACCAGTGGTTCACAACGAATCGAATACCGGAGTAGGTTCATGCAATCGATACCCTCATCGACTTTTACACGCGTCTTCGCTGCGCTCCCTCGCCTATCGAAACCACCCCATCACCGCCTGGGTCCTGGGTTCCTGACAGTGCGTCTTTCGTGTCTACTTCCGACTGTGGGGCCTGTCATTTGGATGAAATTTGTGCATTGTGTCGTGCTTGAGAGTTTCCATGGAGTCATGTCAGAGCGTGTCCTGATCAACTTCCATCGCTGTTCTATAATTTCTCGGTGAACGAATGCGCGAACAGGTGCTCTACCCGGTGCTGATGTTTGCAATGGTCACGCGAACTCACAGGTAAGATACTTCCCTCTATCCCGAAACTGGTCACGTGCAGACAGCGTAGAGGCCATCCTCAGCTTCCGACCACCTCGTATTGCTCTGAGAACTATCGAGGCTTTCTGTGGGTGTACTCTAGTTGCAGCGATTTCCGAGTGGTTATATCTGCCGCTCTCCAACCAGGTGTACCCAATTAGTGGAAAACCCGCGGAAGGCTAATGTGCTGTTTGGGTGACGCGTGTTCCGTAAGAAGGCGAACATGGACCGCTCATATAGATTTGTTGTGTGTCAACTTCCCGCGTTGTGTCTATCGGATCGTGGCCACCTCATCTCATATCTTCTGTCTGTATTGTACGTGGCAGGGTGAGGGTTCGATCGGATGCCCTCATTGTGTTCGTGTCCAATGAAAACCGCGTAACCTCTACGGGCAAGAAAGAGTTTTTCTCTAAACTCCTTGCTGGTTCGAGAAATGATTTGAGCTTATTTACTTGGGCGGACAAGGGACAGTGGGAGACAGTCCAAACGTCGGACGTGAATGCAAGGCGTGATGCTGATTGGTTCCGGATCGGGTTCGAGCCCTTGTTTGCCGACTTCACCCAAGCTGGATCGTGGTTCATTCTCTACACATTGATGGAGGTACGTCGCGGTTCAAGAGCAGCCTCTCCTCCACTCGATTCCTAACCCCGACTCACTCACCACTCGTCGATAGAGTGAGTACCTGGCAAGAGTTGAGGCTATCTCCGCTAGCGGTACGGGGTACGTTTGATGAGGCGACCATGTCTTCGTTTCTACCAATCATGCTGTTTCACGCCGCTACCCTGACGTACAAGTAGCTTCTGTCTCACCGTCAAGCGCGTCGTCCAGTGCTTGACACTGTTTGACATTTGTACTAAGTTTCATTGCAACTGGCATCCAACTTCCATTCCCGTCGGTCGAAGCTGATCAATCTTGATAGGAAGAGGGCATGCTGTAGCCCGGTATTGAAATCAAAGTTGATGAACTTGGTCAGTCTAGATCAAACTTCGCCTACAACAAACTGGGCTGGTGTCTCCAGTTTGGATGGAAGTTCCATGCCAACTTTCGTTCAGCCTTCATCCCAATCTTGGCAACAATTTTTCGTCAAAGTCGAGTGTGTTTCCGTCACACGGAAACATGCGGAGTTGTCGCAACAAAACAAACAAAATGCGTTGTATAGATATATCGCGTTGTGATTGTTCTTCTCTCTATTTTGTTCACAATAATGCATGATTCGCCGACGGAGCTAGCCTAGTCGTTGCCGACCAGTATACTTTACAGGGTCCCTCCGCATTCCGCTTTCCACGAAAATATCGACAACATTGAGAACCCGTATCACCCCAACGGGTGTTGATCGGCGTGCAAGTTGGACCGAGTTCTTTCCCGAATGGCAGAAAGCGAACAATAAAATTGTGACTACATGTAGCGCTGATGCAAATTTGATCAGGTACATGTGGGTTAATGTTATGCGAAATCCAACACAAATCCAACCGTTGAACACCACTCTAAATATGATCCTGCTTTTTCCAAGTGTCAACAAACGTGCGGTATCGAAAACAATGCAATGTTCTAAGGTGTCATAGCTGACACTGTATGCATGTGTTGGGAACGATGAGTGACAACGTTGATCAATGTTGGCCACAGTTCCGGTTAGATATTATCCTTTTCTCAGAATAGCTCTGATCACATTTGGATCAAAGGCTTCACGGCATTCGTCATTCCAATTGCCATCGCAGATCATAGTTGATCACACCTCGAAGTTCCAACGCATTCCATTTATTTCAACAACGTCCATCACATTGTATAAGAGTTCATGCTTTGTCGAATCAACATGCATCGAAGCAAAAAAAAGACACAGTGGACCGCGTTTCCGTCACACTCCCAACGCACTAGCGTCAACACTCGTCGAAGTTTCATTACGATTTGCATGGACATTGTAAAACGCGCACCGACATTAATCAACGTCCGGCTGCTATCATCAACCTTGATCCCAGTTGCCATGCGAACTCAATGAAAATGTCAAATAGTTGGTGTATAATACTCGCTTCACCCGAAGTGGAATTGATTCTGCCGACTCGAGGCGTCAGCCCTTTAGCAGGCGTTTCACGCTCCTCATGGCCGTATATCTGCCCCCTGTGCGCGCTGCCCGAAGGCCTGCACAAAAAAGCCTCCACCACATCTTGTGTAAGGTAGAGTACCATGGGTAATTGTTTGTCATTGGCGCGTCGGCATTTCTGTTTCTATTGGGCCCGTGAACAGTTTGCCACTGCTTGCTTCTGAGACGCGCACGCAGGAGCTTCATCGTTACACTTACCTTGACCCCGAACGTCGCGGGTACCGGTTCTTTTTCTACCGCTGATGAGATACAACCCGGGTGGCAAGTCGCCAAACCTGGAAGGATAGCCTTGCTAGAAGTACCAAATGTTACGATCACTTTCACCGGAGCGCTCACGTGCAAGCGGGGGAACTTTGAGGTTTCTTTGATGAAGGTGTTTACTCTGACCTTTTACGACGCGCACCAGGACGCCCCTCCTCAATGTATAGCTCTTCGCGGCGTCAGCGAGAAATATGCTCTTCCAGCCTGACCATCGTGTCGCGGGATCGGGCGTCGAAGATTCAGTTACAGTAGGCCGATTCGGCTCCGATCAGCCTGAACGTGTTTTTCATGCTTAATTGGTTCATGCTAACTGTTGGGTTTTCGTGTTCTCTCCCATGTCGTCTTGCAAAGTGGGCGTTCTATGCGATCGTTGGCGTGCTGGTGGACAACAGTGTGGTTCAACTCGGCTTATTCTGCGCCATGCATTCGTTGACCTTCATCCTCCTCGTGGTTTTCAAGCCCTTCGCAAACAGGTGGGTGGATGTCGCCCAGAACCACGAATGAAATTACTTCCTTCTTTGTATCGTAGTATCGTCTTCAGCATGTAGCTTGAGGCCTTTCTAGCGGAAAGGGTATGGCAAATATGATTTTTCCTGGATCGTGTGAGCAAGAATCGACTGATCAACATTGGTGTTGATATACGCAACACAGCGTCGTGCACACGCGCTTGGTCAGCGCTACGTCCACCGAAGGCATAGAGCATTGAATTTCGACGCATCGGGAACCGGACAATTTGAAGGTTTCCACCCATGGGGAGAAATTCGAAACAATGACCCTTCTAATGTCTAGGATGTCGACTGCTCGCAATGAAACGTTTGTGTTTTTATTTTTGCGGAAGGTTTGGGACTGTTCTGCCAAAGTTGACGGTCGGGCGGGTTAGGCAGTTCATACAAACATGATACTATCACAACCCGCTCTTTTTTCTGTACAGTAATCGGAGACAACACAACTCACGACGCCATCGACCACCTTTCAGAGTCGCGATCGTCGTGGCAAACAATAACGTCACACAAACGTTTTCTAATCTCTTGTTACCTAGGTTTATGGGGCATGGTCGGCCCTTAGTTTTGAACATCCGAAGCTGTTCCACGTGTTGCGCTAAGCTTGGTCGAAACGTTTGTTGCCCACGAGAAGACTCCATGAAACCAGAGCGATATCACGCTCTTGCTCGGTGGATGGCAGTTACTACCCAGAGACATGTGTAGCTGTGTTAAGTTTGACCGGTTATGTCTTCCGGTCGACGAACGCGGGGGGCGCCATGAGGATTTGCCCTGCACCAGCTTCCCCCCGGGAAACCCGCGGGAGCTGCAGGGTTTAATGATTCCCCCTTTGTCGTTACGTCCAACCTGGCGGCCGGTGCGAGAGACTTTGCGGAACACTCCCCACCCAGAGCCACGAAGGGAACACATTTGAAGTCGTCTTGATGGGTACAGACTTGTACGAGACACGAAACGCCGCTTGTGAAACTATATTGTGTCGTCTGTGGATAACGATTTGAAGGAGAAACCAGACTCTCCTTGTCGCTCTTCACTTTCGATGTCTGGGCGTCTCGTGCACGCAGCGTTCTGAACGCGATGGGGGCAATGGTCATGCTGACGGACGCGGTTTGTATGGGGATGCTGGCCATTTCCGCTAGCATGTTCGACGGGACTCCGACAGCAAACGGGATTGACACGGCAGTCATGGTCACACAACAACTTTGTGTTGCAGGTGAGGCTCGGTTGAATGTAATGACACAATTTCCAGCAATATATCTAACGTATTGCCAACTGGTTCTGTCAGCCAGTCTGTGCTCGTACCTTGGGGCGCTGCATTTTTTCTGGAAGCGCTTAGCGTGCTCTTCCATGTGGTGTTCTCCACCGTACACGTCGCTGGCAAGAAAGTCGAACATTATTGGTTTTACATCGGCAGCGGCAGGAACGCTACCGTGTCGCCCGTGAATTTCGAGTTTGGCTCGTTGCCTGCCCTGATCCGCGCTGCAACGTCCCTTGCTTGTACAGCACTGGTGGTACCCCTCTACTTGGATACTTGCGTGTCACTATGGGGGGCGTTTCGAGACAGGAGAGGACGCGTCAAGACCAGAGAGAATGAAGATGACGTGAGTTCAAACACAACAGCACACAGCCATCGTAGTATCGGTGAAAATGTTTCAGCACACGTCAAGGAGGGAGACGTGCCGGATATGCGTTTACAAATTTCGTACGGCAGAGGGTTTACAAAGCTAATACGTCCGTGCTTGGGCAACTCAGTCGTGCATTTCGTCTTGTACGGCAGCCCCAGAGAAGGCGGTTCAATTTCACGTTTTAGCACCAAGAACGTATCGACCACAGATGTTTGAAAGTTTACCACAGTCTTGAAAGGGGAGAACACGAAGGTGTAACGATTCATCTCCTAGACGTCGCGCGTAGAAGGTTAGCACTGGCGTCGTCTTAGCTTCGGCGAAGGACATCCAACTATTTACCATGCCCGCTGCCTTCTACGTGCAGGAGCCAATCGATTCATGTACCGAAGCCAATCGCACGCCTTTTCCTCGCTAAACAATCTCTTTGCAGCGCGCCGAGCGGGAGTTCATCACCCGTCGCACTCTCCGGCTGTGGGCACCCACCTGGTTCAGGATGGTCGGCAACAACCTGTTCGCATGTAGGTTGCTGTTGCGAAATGCTTTCGGAAGCGGAAAAGTGCGACCGCGTGTGAGGGCTTGGCCACGGGTCTGAGGGACGGGGCTGTTGTGAATTGCACCCACGAAGGCCTTCAAGTACAGAATAAGCAAACCAACAACATCGATGGCCACATTATTGACCAATGTTGAGACGCGTGGGTGTGAGACGTCAATCCAGCTGTTCCAAGCATGTCGACGAAGAAATGAGTACCACAGTGATGCCCAACGGAACTCCACCCTCTTCTAACGCAGGTGTGAGGGATACTAGAGAAGGTATCCGTGACCCGACAGGTTCCAGGCTCCAAGCGAGTCTGCGAGCTGGGCGCATCGGCCCGTATCCTGAATGGGTTATGAAACTACGAGCACCGGTTCCTATCGACCTGCCACGTCGCCGTTCCGGTGCTTCATATCGGTACGAGGAGCAGGTGGATGCCAAAACTGAGCAATATTTCTCTGGAAAACGCTCGAGCGGGAAAGGATGGCCTATGGAGTACGATCTACCTCTCCGTCGTCCGCGATACTCTTTTGATTCGTGTACCTCTTCCGCAAGCATGGACACATCCGGTCAAATGGCAACGCCCGTGAATATGGACGGGCACCGAAGTTATGGAAGGCAGAACCAAGCAGGTGTTACCGAGGACGATCTGCCCCGCCGCCGTTTCTTCTCCCCCTCGATATCGGGGAGTGTGGACAATGCCATGGACGAACAGGCGATCCAGGACCATGGTGTTGACACGGAAACTACGTCAGAAGTGCAAGGTCGAAGTCACGGTCGGGGTCGTACACCGGAAGGACCGACAGAGGAAGATTTGCCGCGTCGTCGCCCGAGATTTTCGTTTGCTTCAACGGTTTCGGTTGACCGGGCCGACAACCTCCACGTCGTCCGGTCAGTTAGACCGAAGCACGAGGATAGTCGGACACGAGTAAGGGGAGGGCCCATCGAGGACGATTTGCCCCGGCGTCGTTCCTGTCTCTCTTCTACCTTGGGAAGTTCGAAAGGGCGTATCGACGATCCTGGCCTGCAGTCAGTGCCGGAACACGAACATGGTCTGCAATATCCTGTCGATGAGATCGATGCTCGAAGACGTGATGGGTTAGGGGAACGTCGACGGGCAGGACCCATCGAAGACGATCTGCCACACCGCCGCTCCGGTTTCTCCTCGACTTCTGGTTCCGCGTCATATGGCCCCGACCCCCCTGGTGTGAAGGCTAAGCACGATTACAGCAAAAACACTGAAGGCGAACGCGGTGACACAAGTAATCTAACTCAGAGATGGGGAGAACCCGTCGAAGATGGCCTTCCCCGGCGTCGGTCGGGTTTCTCTTCCGCTTCAATGGCTTCGGTGGATGGCAGCAGTAAACGCGAAAAGGAGTCCGTGTCGACGTGTGAGGATGGCCTGAAATCTGTGGTGAATGAAGACGGTAGAAGCGGTTGGGGTCGTGTGCGAAGAGGACCCGCCGAGGACGACCTGCCCCACCGCCGCCCAGTTGTCTCTTCCATGTCGGATTCTTCGACGGATTCCAGAGGGCATGGACTGCGAAAATGGGGAGAACCCGTTGAGCATGACTTGCCCCAGCGTCGGTCGTGGTTTTCTTCTGCTTCGACGACATCGATACCAAGCATTAGCGACACCGGACTACCGTCAGCACCGGACCGCGGAGACGGTGTTATTTTTTATGCCGACAAGGACGACCTTCAGCATGGTCGAGGAAGAAAACGGTTCGGACCGGTTGAAGACGGCCTGCCCCAGCGTCGCTCTATTTTCTTTTTTCCGTCGACGGCGCCGGTGAGCATTAGCAATGACAGCGGCCCGCAGCCTGCACCGGAGCTTGGGAGTAGTGCAACGTCTGCTGTGTGCGAGAACGGTCTGAAGAATGGTCGAGGACGAAAATGGGGAGGGCCCGCCGAGGACGACTTGCCCCGGCGTCGACCGCGGTTCTCTTCTACTTCGACGTCATCGCTGAGCAGCATCAGCGACAACGGACCACCTTCAGCGTCGGACTATGGAGACGGTGGGATATCTGGTGTCGAGGAGAACGGACTTAAGCATGGTCGAGGAAAACGATGGTGTGCACCCGTTGAAGACGACCTGCCCCAGCGTCGCCCAATCTTCTCTTCTGGGTCGACGGTTTCGATGAGCGACAGGAATGGCATAGGCCCGCAGCCGGCGCTGGAGCATGGGGATGGTACAACGTCTACTGTCGCTAAGGACGGCCTTCAGCATGGTCGCGGTCGAAAGTCGGGACGGCCCGTTGAACACGACTTGCCCCAGCGTCGATCGTGGTTCTCTTCTACTTCCACGGCATCGACAAGCAGCATCAATGATACTGGCTTGCAGTCACCGCAGTCACCGAAGGGCCATCGGGATGGGGTGGCTCTCAGCGTCGATGAGGACGACGGTCTGAAGCATGGCCGAGAGCGAAAGTGGTGGCAACCTGCTGAAGACGACCTCCCCCGGCGTCGGTCGAGTTTGACGCCTACGGTAGGGTATGCGGTAGGTTTTCCCGACGAATCTGGGCTGCAGATAGGGCCGGAGCATGACAGCGGC